GAGCCGACAAACAGCTGATCAGCTGTTTGTCGGCTCAGCGCGGCAGCCATGTAAATTTAAATGAAGCGGCGATTATTTAAATCGCCACTTCATTTTCCTATGCCTGGTAGCCTAATCTACATGCCTCTGGCGACAGAGGCATGTAGTCTAGACGTACCCTAAGAAAATTAGGATCTCTAATTTACCGCTAGTGCCACTTGGACAGTGATAGCAATGGTGAATGTTGTATGGTCAACAGGGTTCAGGAATTTTTTTCTGTTGTGTGGTCTACAGGGACCCAAAACATTTTAAGGCACCTATTACTGTACTGCCAACACCAAACATTCAAAAACGTGTCAGGCTCCAAAAAAACCCCTATAGAGTTGGTTAAAAATCATGATTTTTAAAAAAAAAAGAGAATTTCTAATTTGATTTCTGGGTTTTGAAACTTCAGTGTTCACATTTTCCAGTATTTCTCAGCAACTAAGAGGACCAGAAATTTACTTCTACACCAGCTGACATTCTCCTTTAAAAACATGACTCTAGCAGCTGAGGCTTTCATTAAAAACACCTAAAATCACGAGATTTGGCTCCACTGCTATTAGGTGTGATTCTGTTAAAATATAATTTGACTAGAGTTACTGAGCCCAGAAATACTAGTTGTGCATGTCAGAGACGGCTTTAAATCTAACTTTAGAAAAATATAAAAGTACATTAAAAACTTTGCAGGACAATGTAGCACTTTAAACACTAACAAGATGGTTTATTAGATGATGAGCTTTCTGGCCCACGAAAGCTCATCATCTAATAAACCATCTTGTTAGTGTTTAAAGTGCTACATTGTCCTGCAAAGTTTTTAATGTACTTTTATATTTTTCTAAAGAATTGCAGTTGTGAAGAAATACAAATAGTTCAGCTAAATATGAGTCCCTGCATGTTTTTCCTTTATAGTCTACACTATTTTCAGTTTTGGCTCCCTCACTGTTTAAAGTACTGCATAAATAATCCTTAGCATGATGAAAATTCCCTAATGGAAATACACAGCTGCATTCTGCCTTCTGTGATCTGATTTATGTATAAATCTACTCTACCCAAGAGAAAAAAAAGTCTCCTCTGAATTGTGGTCTAATGGCAGCAGCTACTTGCCTACTAGTAATCATCACATTATGCATACCTAAAAGAGATAGATCCTTATCCACCAAGTTACAGCTACTCAGTCTCAACATTCGAATCTTTGTTGCAACCTTCAGTGCTTCCAAAAGCAGCTTTAGGTTCCCACCAACGCATTTATTCCAAGAAAGGTCTAATATCTCCAGTTCAGGGAGGTGAAGGGCAGTCTCAGCTGAAAAGATTAACACAAGCAACTTCTGCTTACTAATAGAAATCGTAGTGGCCTTAGCAGACATTTCACCATCTTTTCACCTGTAAGTAGGTTTTAAGTATGTTGCCCTACCTAGTTGTGCTCAGAACATAGGTTTATAGGATCTTAGTAAAAGATAGACAACATAAAATCTCACATATTCCCTAACTAGCACACTCATCCTTTCATCCTTAAGGAGGGGCTCAGGGAAGAGGACTGAATGAAGGTGCGGGGGTGCATAAGTCAGGGTTGAAGGTTGAGGAGAGGATCTGGGAATGGGACTGGGCAGGGAGGGTAGGGGACCAAAGCCTGCCCCCCCTCCCTCGCAGATTCATAGCAGGGCTGCTTGCTCTTACCCTTCCCGTCCCTGCCAGAGAGCTTGTCTGACCCCTGCAATCCTCAGCCAGAGAATTTCTCCTCACTCCCCAAAGAAGGGGAACAGCTAACCTGGGGGGGGGGGGGGGGTGGAGCTGCAGCCTTCCACCACACCCTAAAAAATGCCTGTGGGGTGGGAGGCTCATAACTGGGGCAGTCCAGGATGTTGGGAGGGGGGCCACACCAGCGACCCCCTTTCACCTGCCTGGTGATTGTGTCTCTCTTGTTTTATGAGAAGCAATCTCATTCTAGGCACATCCCATTTTCCTGGCACAACCAAACGCTTACCTTGCTTTAAGTTAAGAGGAAGCTGTATACCAAATGTGTACCAGCTCTTACTATTTAGAAGGAGTCTTTGAACACACATAAACTCTCTCAAATACATAGTAGAAGAGCTGAACTTTGGATTATTCAATATAGAATGGATATTTTACATAGACATATCCTTGTGTTGTCTTTCTTAAAAGGGATTGGGATGATCTGATCCTATGGACATCTGAATATCAGATGACCTGGAGCTCCCTGGTATATAGCAGTGATGAGTCTCAGCTGTCCTGACCAATGCATCCAGCTGCTGCTGCTACCCCGGTGGCAGCTGCCCTCTTTGCCCTCTACCATTTGCAGCCCGGAGGAAATACACCACTAAAATGTATTTAAAGTAGGCACATGAAGGGGAAGTTGGTTTTTCCTGACCAAGAAAAGGGTCAGGCACCTCAAGCCAGGGGTGCCCAAGGACGGAGGTCTATTCATTTGCATCAGAGACTGCAGAAAGATCATTTGCATTGTAAAAATCATAAGCAAGGGAGATGCCAGCATGTCATTTACACCAGACAGCATTTACACATACGCATACATACCATCCCAGGGCAAGGGACTTTATCTGGGGATTCACTTCAGAAGAATACATTTTGAAGTTTTTACAAGACAATAAAGAGATTGGGAGAAACCCCCCAAGTTATCGTTTATCTTTGCAGACGAAGACACCAAGTGTGATGAACTTTGTATTTGGATTCTTGCTAAGGGCTAGCCAGCCATACTGGAAGAATGACAATGGTGAGAAAACTATGAACAAATGACATTATAGTTCGTAGTGTTTCAGCCTTAGAATATTTTAACTTTTGTTTGTAACCATTTCTATTGGGAATGTAGATATCGTGTAACCGAATAGTTGTGTAACCGCATGAAATTTTAGTGATTACATGGGGGGGGGGCTGGCAGCCAATGTGCTGTCCTCCCTGCTCCCTGAAGTGCCCTGCCACCCCATGCTGCTGCCATCTGATACACAGGCAGCAATATGGGGTGGCAGCAACCCCTGTTCACAGGGGTCTGAGCTCCCTGTGGACAGAGGCTGGTTTCATCCGCCACACTGATGTAGAGGCAACAGTGTGTGTGGAGGGCAGGTGGCACAACAGAGCTGGTTCTGGGGGAAACCCTGTAGCAAGGGGAGGCAGGCAAGTCTGCAGAGTTGGCATGCACAGGGAGCCTGCCTGAAAACCAGCTTCCCACACGTATCAGCTCCAGCCTTCCCTCCCACCCCACTCTCTGTGCTGCTGCCTCTCTATCAGAGGCTGCAGTGTGCAGATGGGGGGCCAGGCAAATCCAGTGCTCGTGGGGAGCCTGCTTAAAACCAGCTCTTCATGGGCACCACGTAGGGTTGCCAGATGGTTTAAGAAAAAATACTGAACAACCCCCCCACCCAAAAAAAACACTGAAAAAATTCTGTTGAGGAAAAAAAAGGGAGGAGACCAAAGTTATTAAGCAATAAATAAATAAATAAAAAGCCCCGCTGAACAGAATTGTCGAACAAAAAAAAATGTTTATAAAAGAATGCTGCTCCATTTTTTAAAATCCCACAGCTCCATTTGGGGTGGGGGGCACAGGAGCGGCTTCGCAAGTTGCACTTTTGGGGGGCAAGAGCCACATGCAGCTTTCAAGCCATGGGTTGGCCATGGCTGGTGTAGAAGGAGGCATCACCTGGCCAGCTCCCAGGTCTCTGTTGGTCACATGGGCCAGAGCAGAGTGCACTCCATTCCCATCCCAGCCTGGTGCTCCCCTAGCATGAGGCCAGGCAAGTGTCCACTCCTGCCCCCCTTCACTATGACTCTGCTGTGCTCCTCTCTCCCTTACCCTTACCAGACGCAGCAGGGGAAAATTGTCACTGCCGGGCTTCCATCCCAGGGAAACAGGAAATACCAGACCTTTCACATGTCTGGTATTTCCTGGGTTTTTTTACTAGACAGAGCCCGCAAATACCGGACTGTCCAGGTGAATACCGGATACCTGGCAACCCTAGCACCAGCTGCTGCTTGGATGCAGACTATTGGAGTCAAGTCAGTAGGCATAGGGGTTATGCACCCTCTCCCAGATGCACTGCTTGGCTTGTATTGAGCATGCTCACACAGACTGAGCATGCTCAATAACGACTGCCCTCATTCTGTCCCTGTCTCCCCACAGGCAGGCACAGGTAATCTCTATCAGCCACAAAGCAGCATGGCATTTAAGGCTGCAAGGCAAACATTGACTAAACTCCTTAGAATACTTATTTCGAAATAATAACTCCTGAAATAACTATTTCAAAATAATGTGTCCACACTACAGAGAAGCCTTGAAATTAGTCCAAGGCAGGCTCCCTTAATGTAGATGCTTTATCTCAACTTGGAGCCCCAGGAAGCACTGGGAAGTAATTATTCTGAATGACTCTGTCTATAGGTCTCTTTTGGGAATGTGTCAAGATTCCTTTACACTCAGGCTTGGTAAATATAAGACATCAGTATTAAATGGATAATTATTACAAGGTCTGCCCACTCACTAATGATTATAATTCCAGCATAATATGAGATCACACCCTGTAGCTTTCTTTTCTAAAATTAGTGAATAAATTACAGTTCTTTGGAAAATGAAGGATCAATAGGGCTGCATTAAAATCTGACATAATGTGGTCAAATGCTGTTATAATTCACTTTATTCTTGACCTATAGACTCCTAATATTCCACTTTCAAATTTCTCCTTGCAGTCAGACCAAATTATGTGCTAATTTTGTGCCATGGGCAGACAGAGCCAAGGAAGAGACCGACAGATACATTTTCACTCATGACTAATGCCAGAATTCAATCGCAGATCTGCAGAATCTCATCAAAGGATAGTTCAAATCTATTGCATTATTGCATCGTGCTGCATATAGAGAATATATAATAGTTTAAAAAGTGTTCCTACCTAGTGATGCAAAGGACTCTTCTCCTAAAGAGCAACTGCTGATGACCACAGACTTCAACTTTGGTAAAAATCTAAGCCTGCTGAATAGGTGGTTGAAAGACATTCCAATATTTTTATTAGATGATAAATTCAGCTCTTTGAGGCTTGAGAGTAAAGGTATCACCTGTGCTTTAAAAATACACAATATTCATTAGTCATTGTGAGCCTAAGTGACTATATACCTGTAGATTCTTTCTTTTTAACTTAACCCAAAACACATTGCCATATTCTGAGGCCCTTACTCTTGCTGAGTAATATTTTACTCCATAAATAGTCCCATCATTATCAACATGATTACTCAAGAAGTAACATACTACTTAGCATGTCTCTCCTCTGAGGAAGTGGATTTTGCCCATGAAAGCTCATGATACTATATAAATATATTTTTGTTAGTCTCAGAGGGTGCGTCTCAACAGCGGCACTATTTCAGAATACTTCTGGTATCCCGAAATAGTATTTTCCGCATCTTGATAGCACACCCGTTATTTTGAAATGTCTTTTGAAATAACGGGTGCACTCTTCCAGCATCCGTATAAATCTTGTTCCATGAGGATTAAGGGATGTTTCAGAATAGTCCCGTATTTTGAAATTTGGCACAGTGTAGACGGCGCCAGATTTCAAAATAAGCTATTTCAAAATACACTCGAAATAAGCTACACAATTTGAATAGCTCAAATTGCTTAGCTTATTTCAAGCTATGGGTGCAGTGTAGATTCATCCTGAGGTGATACAGGACAACTCGTTGTTTAGGGTTGGGTGCAGTGTAGATTCATCCTGAGGTGATACAGGACAACTCGTTGTTTAGGGTTGGGTGCAGTGTAGATTCATCCTGAGGTGATACAGGACAACTCGTTGTTTAGGGTTGGGTGCAGTGTAGATTCATCCTGAGGTGATACAGGACAACTTGTTGTTTAGGGTATTGTCTAGACTGCAGAGTTTTCCTGGGATACTGGAGAGATTTTCTGGGATGCGCCGCTGCATCCAAGGAACATGTCTGCTTTTCCGAAAAAAATTTCGCAAAAGCACACACGTTTTTTCAATATCACTGTAAACCTTGTTCTACGAGGAAGAAAGGATGTTCCGAAAGAGGCTTTTTTTCTGACATTTGGCCCAGTGTAGACAGGCCAATTGTCAGAAAAGCATCTTTCGGAAGAAAAGCAGAAAAATGTGCGTCTCTTTTTCCGATAGAACTTTGTAGTCTTGACACAGCCTTAGGGTATGTCTACACTACCCCGCTAGTTCGAACTAGCAGGGGTAATGTAGTCATTCGCAGTTGCAAATGAAGCCCGGGATTTGAATTTCCCGGGCTTCATTTGCATGAAGCCGGCCGGCGCCATTTTTAAATGCCGGCTAGTTCGGACCCCGTGCCGTTCC